CTTCATTACCCATTCAAGCCGTCTCCAACCGTTATTAGTCTCAAGTGGGTTCCTCGTTATCGAATTCAAAATCTGTTAAGCTGTTTTTACACCATATTGGCCAGGAATGGTGTTTAATTCCTTTCACTTCTGCTCCCAATTGTACAATGTCTTTCACCTAGACTAGTACATTTTCCCTTCTGGTGGGAAATATAGCTTTAAGATTGCCTAGGATATGTGAAGTTAGACAGGTATCTTTTCCACCAGCGGTCAGGTGGCCTCAGGAGATAATGACCACTCTTTTATTTCATTGGGGAATGACTAGTCATGTGTGAGCGCTAGTTGCTCTGGGTAAGTTTGTTGTAAACAACTTAAGTAGCTAACCGTACGCTGCTAACGTGAGAACTATTCAGATTGGAGTACAAGATAAAGAGATACAGTTTGGAACAGAGGTTTTCGGAGTTAGATTATCAATACAACAAACACTAGAATAAAAGGCAACTGACCACTGTGACAAGTTAAGTATACATTTTAACTGTGTTGTCTTAAAAATTAATTTTACACTTGTGTTTAGTTTTAGAAACTTATAGTTATTCCGCAATAAATACCTTTTCGAATTTTTCATCATCAGGGAGATCTTTCTTGTTGCTCTGAGTGAAATCAATCTTACCTGAAAGCACCATACCAGCAAACGCTGCAGTAAAATATCTTGTTAACAATAGAAACGCCAAACCTTGTAACACACAGTTTTAAGGTAACAGTATCATTAGCATATCTTACAATAAGTAATATTTTTTGTAGCCGAAAAATCTTACATCGTGTGAAATTATATCGATGCCATGTTCTTCATGATATACATGATTTGTATCAAAATAGTGCAAGTTATTACGAATGATTTTAAATCAACATTTTTCAATTAGTAACTCACCTGCAAAATATAGAGTATAACAGAGAGTAACCCTAACCAGCTATGAAGAGAATAAAGGTTGGAGATGGGTTTGGCTGGAAGGTTACGAGAGTCAAATACACTTTTGAGCCCCACAATAACACACACCAAAGAGAGGGTGTGTAACATAACATGTAGAATTTTAAGAGTCGTCTTCTTTTTCCCTGGCAACGCTCGAAAAACAAGAATAGCTGTATACAAAATAAGAAAGAAAAACTTTTATTTATTTTGATACATAAAACTATCTAGATAAAAGGGGCATTTTCTTTGAGTAGTACAAATAAAAATTGTTTATAGTTCTAACAACGCCATCGTAGACCATCTACGAACTATTGTGTGAGTCTGTACCAAACAATTAAAAACTAAGTGGATGTGTACCAAACAATTCACATCCACTTAGTGTTTAATTGTTTGGAGCACATCCACTTAGTTTTTAATTGTTTGGTGCACATCCAATTAGTTTTTAATTGTTTGGTGCACATCCACTTAGTTTTTAATTGTTTGGTGCACATCCAATTAGTTTTTTACCAAACAATTAAACACTAAGTGGATGTGTACCAAACAATTAAAAACCGAGTGGATGTGTACCAAACAATTAAAAACTAAGTGGATGTGCACCAAACAATTAAACACTAAGCGGATGTGTACCAAACAATTAAAAACTAAGTGGATGTGCACCAAACAATTAAACACTAAGTGTTTGTGTACCAAACAATTAAAAATTGAATGGGGTGGGCGCCAAACAATTAAAAACTGAGTAGATGTGCACCAAATAATTAAAAAGTAAGTGGATGTGTACCAAACAGAATGTATTTAAGAGCTCAATTGAACAAAGATCACAAATCCTGACCTGATACAGCTTTACTATTACAGCAATTCTATTGTTTTCTTATTTCAGATCGCATATCATCACGAGAGAAGAAAAGTGCATGATTAATATGCATACGAAGCGGTGATGGTTCCTAACATCAAGTTAGAACGCAATACAAAAATAACCACCATGTTGGAAGGTTGTAAATTAACATACCTTGCTGTAGGTGGAATTTCACGAGAACAAAATAACACAGCTGCCATAGTGTGGACGCTGTGTATCCTTTGTTAACCAAAAACAAATGAACGATCGCAAAATCTGAACAGAAATATGTGTTCAGGTTATAAAACAGTGTGTGAAAATATTAAAGAAGTTGATCAAATGTATTGCATACCTATTTCCCTTGATATAAAGTCTGTCGATAAGGAAGAAACATACAGATAAAACACCATTATCTCACTCTGCATGTTGGCAGAAAAAATTTAATAACACCAAATTCACGCGGTCTACAAAATACGAGAAAGTACCGAATCTCTGCCTTCTCCATTTAAAGATAAATTACCCAATATTTAATATAATATAATATAAATAGGCAGAAATTTTAGAGAAGTGTCAATTTTTGCCACCAGAGGAAGACTTTCCGTAGATAAAAAACCTTAGTACGTCCTCAAGCCCAGTTGTGTCAACTTTTATACTTTTATTACTTTTCGCAAAATTCTTAAGAGTTAAGGCGCTGGATTATTAACAATAGGACTGCTGATCGTTAAACAACGTCACATATTCTAATTGTGTTAAACAAATAAAATAAACTACTTCTACAACCTCCCCTCCCCCTTTTTTTTGTGCATCACAAGATTTATCTTTAGCGAACAACTCACCATTTCCATAAAGAAAAACGAAACCAGTAATCATAAGAACTGGATGTAGGTTAAACTCCAACTTGGGGTCAGTTTGCCAAGCAAAGCCCCCATGTAATAACCAGTCCATCCAAACGATAAAACAACAGACACAATCCCAAAGATCTCGACAGCCGCAATTCCAAGATTAAAAAGGACAGCAGACGAAGCCTCGTTTTCTCTAGGGTCCATGTCCTTCTTTCGGAGAACAGGCTCACACTTGTGTCTGGAATAATAAAATATGTTAATGGTTAACTTACACGAACTTTGTTTTAAAGTGAGATTAATTAAAAATATATATACAGTCAGAATGTAATACAAAGAATTGCAAAACTTAATGATAAGCGTTAAGAAAAAAAAATACAAGATAAGCTTATTCAAAGGAGTATCTTTATATATTAGAATAACTGTTTTAACCTTGAAACATTCCACTCTATCACGATTAAGTTTACAACCAAAGTAAAGAACGTGGCTACCAAGATAAGGAAGGTGGCTACACTATTTCATCTCATTAGAGATAATTGTGACATATTAGTTGACGCACGTACGCTCGCTCAACTCAATGGAAAAAGACATTGCGATCACGGGGGAGACATAGAGCGATCAGATTCAAATAATAAGCCCCCTATGCCAGTAGAGTAGTCACTTCCCGGGGGCCTTAAGGGATTGGTGAAAATCGGTTCAGCGTTTCGACAAGCCTGATATTACCCCTGAAGACAATTTCAGGTGTCGATTTATTAGTTATGTACATATTTGACATGTTCTGTTGTAAGAAAGCATAACTATATCGTCAGTTTTTGAACGTACCAGTAATCTGACGATTTGTTAACATGCTGTTTAGGCGATTGCTTTAATTTCGATTATTGTTTCCGTATAACTGTGGGGTAAAGTAGTAGTGGTAAGGGGTATCAGGAAAAAAAACACAGTTAATTCATTTTTTGTAAACCGGACTACATAGAAAACAAGTGGTACTTCATTCTGATGTATCTAAGCCTGTAGATGTAAGGTTGTGGACATATCATCAGACAAAAACCTACTAACTCAACCATTATCAAACTTGTAAACCTAGATTGACTGTACTTACCAGCTTAACCAACAACAACCTGTGAACTTAGTTTAGTTATACCTACCAGTTTAACCATTAACAACAACCTGTAAACTTAGTTTAGTTATACCTACCAGTTTAACCATTAACAACAACCTGTTAACTTACCTTGGTTATTCTTACCAACAACAAACCTGTCCGGAAACTAAACTAAGTTTACGGGTTTGTTAATGGTTAAATTGGTAAATACAGTTAAACTGGGTTTGGAAATTAGAGAATCATTATTAGTTAAGTTGGTAAGTACAAATAAACGAAGTTCACAAACCTATAATTAGTTAAACTGATAATTTCAAGTAGGCTTAGTTTAAAGGACTCTGGTTGGTTAAAGAAATAGTTACAAATTCGGTTTTTGCTACCTAGCTACGGTTTATAGGTCTAAAAAGTAGAAAATAAAAACTACTAAGCTACAATTTAAAATACTAACTACACCAACTAACTTCATTTTACAAAATTCGCAGATATCAAGTTATTTAAGTACACCACAATATCCTCTTATTTTTGGGTAAGATCACAAAATATTCTGTACTTTTATTTGTTATAAAATTTAACGTACCTTCTTATTCCTGCGAGTATGGAGACTAGTCGATGTGTTACCAGATACCTATTGTTGACCGATTACAAACCTGAAAAACTCGTGGTTATGTAACTGTCGTCTCAACCAACAAGGAGTTGCCTTGCTAAACCAAGGCTAAAGGGTTTTTTTTTGTAATTTGAAATCTGGATTTGCAAGTAGCTTGCCAGATATCAAATGATTGTTGTTCTATTTTTACTTTTTTGTGTGGCAAAATCAACCCTGAAAATTTTGTGTAAATAATTGGAACTTGATTTTTGTAACGCTAATTCTCAGACAGTGTTCATTGGTTCATGATCCAAAGTACCAATAAGTTTTATAAAATAGTCTATCATAACAAATATGTTTCGCATAATTGATTTGTATAATTAATTGGAACCTAATTTTCTGTTATAACTGATTTTCGAACGGCTAAGGAGTGCATCTTCCTGACCCTAAATACTAAAAAGAAATATATATATATAATAAAATCATAAATTCTAACATATCTTCACGTCAGTTGTGTTTGCTGTCGGTATAAAATAGAATTGTAAAATAAAATTGCATTTCTATAAACGAATATATCCAAAATTACCATGAAGAATGATGCCATGTAAAATATATATCCAAAATTACCATGAAGAATGATGCCATGTAAAATATATATCCAAAATTACCATGAGGAATGATGCCATGTAAAATATATCCAAAATTACCATGAAGAGTGATGCCATGTAAAATATATCCAAAATTACCTTGAAGAGTGATGCCATGTAAAATTTATATCCAAAATGTTTTGTTTGTTTGTAATTAAGCACAAAGCTACACAATGGGCTATCTGTGCTCATCCCATCATGGGTATCGAAACCCGGATTCTACCGTTGTAAGCCCGCAGACATACCGCTGTGCCACTGGGGGGCATATCCAAAATTACCATGAAGAGTGATGTCATGTAAAATATATAACAAATCCATTATTATCAAGATTAATATGCAAAATTATTACTCTAAATTGTGTGGTTGAATATAATGAACTTATCTACTGGTAGGCCACATCTTATGATATTATTTCGCAGGAACAAAGTTTTAAGTTAGTAAGAAGTATAATAGCCAATACTTAGCACAATAATAAGCGTTGATAGATTGAAATAAAATAAAAACGCAAGATTTTGCTACCATAAATGGCTTATGAGAAACACAACGTAACATGACACTTCTGTATAAAAAAACAACAAAAAACTCAACATCTCCAGATCAGGTATCGTTCGGAAAAGCGAATAAATACGTTGCGTTCTCAAGTTTCGTTTCCAGTTATATAACCGGTTTTCTCCTTATTAATCCACTCTTATATAAACAAAAAATACAACAAAGGTTCAAGACATCTCACGAAAATGACTATAATACCTGTGTAGTAAAATATAATAAATAAGGATAACTACCTAAGGTACATAGACAGAAAATTAGTAGTCACAAATAAAAAATAAACCGATAAAGAAGCTGAGCAACTTCGTCAGCTTAGTGAAAACATTAGTTATTATGTATAAAATCGTTGGCATAGTTTAATGGTGCCATCTATTGTAACTAAGAAATACTAAATATTTCTACTTATTTAAAAAAAATTAAATGTGATTTTTTTTTTTACATTTCTTACTATAAGAATGATTGTGAAACCCCTTATTAGATTAGGGTATTCCAAGAGTTGACGGTTGGTGCTGTTGACTAGCTGCACTCTCTCTGGTCAGCAGTTCAAAATTAGGCACAGCTTTCAGTTATGGGCTCTTTACGAAAATGACAGTCAATCCTGTTCACTTCACAAAACCGAACAAAGCTTTTGTGGCGGAGGGTGCTGCTAGCTGCTCTGTGTTTAGTCAGTAGTTCAAAATAAGGCACAGCTTTATCTTTCAGTTGTGGGAACGTTCATTACAACAAAAATCAACCGTTGGTAAAGTTTGCTCTTAATGTTTGTTTCATGCAACGTTATTGTTACATTAAAGAAATGTACGTTATATTGGTTCTTTCACATAAATAAAACATACCGTGAGTTTAATTGCTTTATTGATCAGCCACTAACTAAAAATATTTATGGATGACGATTCCCTCTTAATAAGTAGTTACAATTCGAGAACTGGTCAAACATAGCTTTAAGCCATGTCTCAACAAATTTTTAAGATTTAGCATTTGTCCACTACTAACAATGAATCGGAATCGGTCCGAATTAATTTCTAATATTAAGTCTTTATTGTTTATCAAAGAATGGATCAGAATTGTGTCTCAATCAGTTCTTTATATTTAGTTCCTGTTTGTTTGTTTGTTTTGAATTTCGTGCAAAGCTACACGAGGGCTATCTGCGATAGCCGTCCCTAATTTAGCAGTGTAAGACTAGAGGGAAGGCAGCTAGTCATCACCACCAACCACCAACTCTTGGGCTACTCTTTTACCAACGAATAGTGGGATTGACCGTCACAGTATAACGTCCCCACGGCTAAAAGGGCGAGCATGTTTGGTGTGACAGGGATTCGAACCCGCGACCCTCAGATTGCGAGTCGAGCGCCCTAACCACCTGGCCATGCCATGAAACTGTGTTTCAACTAAATCTTCTTGAGCAAACACGAATTAAAGCTTTGTACCATCTATTTCTTAGTTTGCCTATTATTAACAAAGTAAATTCTTTATGATAAGATAGCTTCTGCCATCTATTGGTTAAAATGCCAACTAAAGGCTCTAACTGTAATTTAAAAAAAGAAGAAAAAAAAAGACCTTTACTTTCCTGATAACAATCAAAAGTTTTTTTATTACCTGGAGAGTAAAGGTCGGTTTTTAAACTCTATTACAAAAAACGTCTAAATTCCTCTACTATGCACTAAAACTTCTGAAAAACAAAGCCTCAAAAGTTAAACACCATAATATAATATTGTTTAATTAGGTATAGCCTTTATGATATTCAAAATATGCTGCTTCTGTAATAATATTGAATATGCTTTGTACCAAAACAAGTAACATTTGGGTCGGTTGTGCAATAGATCATTAAACACTTGATGGGGTGTGTGCTAAACAAAACCTTGGTGAATTCTTATGAAGTTCGGCATAAAAATCTATTGGGGGTTGAGAAAGGTGAGAAACGGCCGACTTGTGGTCAGTCCCTAAGAGATTATAGCACTAAATGTCTAGAGGATTATTCGAAGAACATCCGCCTTACTATGTTTAGCGGATTTGGAAACTAGAAAGACTTCTAAAATTATGAGACGTTTTAATCCGATGTCAGGAAAACAGTTGTGTT